TTTTATCACTGCGAAGGACATTTTGTTCCCAAATATTTTGAGCATTTCTTATTTATTTATTTATTTATTTTGCGGCGTTAACCTCCAGTACGATATGTCCTGCTTTTTGCATCGACTTTTTTTTTCTATGTTGCCAAGCTCTATTCACTACAACAGGTTTCGCTACTATACTGCTCGGGTTCTCTGGATACAAATTGCTTGAATTTTTCAAGATTATCGTCAAGAAACTTGATACGTCGTTGCAGAGGGTCCAATTCAGTGTTAAAATTATTGGAGGAAGCTAGAATAAAAGCCTCCTCAGCCGTCTCCTTTGCAAGTTGGAGAGATCCTTGGCGATAAAACTGATCTGATCGTGTTTTCAAGAGCTGTATCATTGTGCCCATGGGGACACTGTCTCCAAGGTTTTGCTGTATGAAATTGAGGTGTTCTTCAGCTTTTTTTATGTCACTTGAGGGAATGGCTTTCGCTTGGGTCCGCACAGCTGTTGAAACGCAGTCGAGGAGTAACGTTGCAAGATTGAGACGAATGTGCCTTTGCCTTTTGACTTGAACCCTAAGTCGGAGATCTTCTTGGCTGTAAGAGATAGCTTGCTCAAAATAGTACCTCGCATTTTCTCGGGCGGTTGTTCTTGCTGGCGCATTCCGCTCGTCATCCGGTATCAGGCTCATGCGATCTAGCCAAAGGCGACCGTACTTTTGATAGAGTTCAGCCCAATCCTCTGGCGAATCGTGGTTTTGCAACAAAAACTCGCTACGTTTAAGGTATTCAAAGAGCCGTGGTAACTTCACGGGCTTCCTTTTTCTTATGTCAGCCACATATAAAAAGTAGGCTCTTGCCATCAGAATGTTCGAATTTAGTGCGTGACACGTTTTGTTTTTGTCTGATTGTATGAGTGAAGTAAACATAGACTTGCTCTTTTTGGACTCTTTCTGATACGAAAAGGCCACTCCTCGCTCTATTTTTAAGGCCAGCTCCATGTCTGGTTTATTTCCGGTGGCACAGAGTTGAAGCAACGATATGGCTAAGTACTCGTGTTCTCTAAATTTTCCATTGTCCTGCAAAATCTCAAGTTTTTCCATGATTCTCTCGCAATGTGGTCCGTTGAGGTACCCTTGCTTCTTGATCAAGGGCATCGGTCGTTCAAGACTGGACAAAATAATTCCAAATGAGTCTGTTGTTCTGCTATGGGCTTGTTCTTCGATGGAAAGCTTTTCTCGGTCACAGCAACGATCGTTGGTTACTTGTTTTGTGCCTGACTGACCGATCAATACGGCACGGAAGCTTGAGACCATCAACTTTAAAGTATTTGCTGGATCGTCAGATCTTGTTTCAACGACAGTCGAGGCTGAATCATTAAAGGGAAACCAAGATAACGAGCCACTCAAGTCGTTGCAAGTTTCCTGATCATGGTTTGTACGCTCTTCTGAAATTTCTCTAGCGGCGCTAGAAACGCCATCGCTAACCGGCGTATTTCTTGCATGGTTGTCCATGTCTGTTCAAGAGTAAAAGTTCCTTGTTTTTTAGCGTTGTATTCTCAGACTGGTTATTTTGAACTAGTGTAATTCAAGTGCGGACTGAAATTACCTCCCCCCGGAAGGCACTGAGATGTTTCTTCGAAGACAATGAATCCTCTGTTTCAGTGTTTTTGCGTGTTTTCTTTACCTTTTTGTATATTCCTCGATAGCTCTGTAGGGCTGTTGTGATCCGCTTATTGAAACCCAAAGATTCTTGTAGATTTACTCGTTAAGGAAGTTCTAGAGTGAATTTTGAATAGAGCCGTGTTTTCTTTGTTATCAAAGCATAACAT